GTATAGTCGTGACAGCTAACGAAATAACCGTTGTGCTTTCGCAATCGATAAGGAATACCTGGAGATTAATTTTTATTAAAATCCGGAAATAAATAATTTAGTGAACATTGTATTTATCAAATGCTGATATGCGTGAAATATGTTCATTATATGCCGGGTATCACAAAAATATTCCCAAATATTCTCTAACGTGTTAAATATTCTCTAACCTCTAAAATATGCTTTTTTATGCAAAATACATTTTTTCTTGTGAATTCTGTGTTTCATGATTCGTAAAGATTTCTCACTCCTATTTAACTGCATAAACTAGAAACAAATATGTAAAATCATAAAAATCCGACCTCTAGTCATAAGTGACCGATAAGAGGCGCCGAACACATTGTATATGTTACTTATATTATATATATACTATACCTATATAGTATATATTTTAAATGGCCAAAAGGGTATACCAGGCTTATGTAATGATCAAATTCAACCATCATACATACAAAACAATAATATTTCTCTGCATAATACATAATATTATATGTATATCTATATCATTCCTGCTCCGACAATCACAGATTTATACAATATAGTACCAGATAACGAACTCTCTCTATCAGTTGAAGCCTTTTTCTTTGTTGGTATTATATGGTATTGTATAGGGCGACTATTAATTATTTAGTATGGTATTGTATTATTTCCTTAAACCTCTTGTCAAAAAAAAAAGTATTTTATATTAATCATTTAACATTAATTATTTTATTTAACCATCATAAGAACGATGTTATTCCTAAAACATTTTCGACAAAATGGCTGCCAAGGTTTACCGATAATCATATAAATAATATAGGAGTTCTTTATCTAGTGTAGTATAAAAGTCGAATGAAAAATTGTGTATTGAATCCATCTAATTAGGTTACGATAACTGAGAACCCGTATAATGTGGTTTGTACGTTAATTGCAGTTGATCAAGAAAATTGGTACAGAAAAAAGAAAAATTCATTGAAAAGTTCACAACAAGGTTTATAAAAGAACACAAAAGAATACACTAATACCAGTACATGATATTTACTATATTGGTGATGTATTTTAGATGTAAATCAGTTTTGTTATAGTTCATCTGCTAATTTTTAGTCGGCTTAAGTGTTGTGGATCGACAAACGATGTGGGCGATCCATTCACATTGTGTATTTCGTCCGATATATGGGTAAATTCCGAGGGTTTGCACGCCCTAGACATAATGTATTGTATAGATTTTATTCTGCAGGGAGGTGTTCCCTATATGCTATTATAATACAAAAAAAATGTACCGAGAATGGGGGTGAAGAGATTGACATATTATAAAGGTCTATACCAAACAATAATCCTTAAATGTATATGTTATAGCGCATCGAAGAAACCTTCATTTCGGGGAAAAAAATATTATTATTAAGCTGGAACCGGTTCAAAAGGTTTCAAACCGAACGATATTTCAAATACTCAATGATATTCCATCTATAACATTAATAACGTAGTATATTATGATTATTATCAACCCACGTCATCTCGTGTCCCGCCTGTGTGTCACCTTATAATTAAATCTTTGACCGTCTATCTATTCATGTTTATTTAGTCACGGGTAGTTCAAAAAAACTAACATACTACACAAAAAAACCATTTATAAGGCACGAATCGTAGTGTTCGGTAGGGTTCATAGTACTCAGACGTATACAACCCTACATAGCAGGTTACCGTACAAAAATGTAAGAGCGTTTACAAAAACATTCAGAATCGTTTCAGAAAATTAAAATTATCTAAAAGAACTTTTTTTTCGTCTGGGGAAAAAAATGAACAAAAATAAAATACAGCGCTTTATCTGGGTATCTCAGTTTTACAGAGACGGTACATGATATTATATGTATGTATGCAGGTAGGCATGCATTATGAACATAATATTGTTCTCTCGAAGCATATAATATTATATTGAAAAAATAGGGATTCGTTTGTACACAATACATAAATACAGACACAAACCATTTTGTATCTGCATCGAAATCATCGTTTATTTTGTACAATTTATTTCATAAATATATAATCACCCCCCGAAGTTTTCAATTGATATCATTGAACACAGTCGGACGTCGATCTCAAGAATACATTTTGTTCCGTCATTGTAATAAGTGGTCGACTAAGAGACGAAAAAAACATATGTTTATATTACTTATATATATATATTATATACCTAGTATATATTAAAAATAGCCATATGGGTATTATGTAAGATAAACTACCCATACATGAAAATGTAACACGTTTGTATCAACTGCGAGGATTAGCAAGCTGTCCATGCGATAAATTATCTGTCACTACAATTATAGGACAGTACACATTTTTAATCTTTTGAAATTCGTTTCTGTTAAATACGATTTAGCAAACACAATTTTTGCAGGTTTCCGTGTAGCATAACGGCAGCAAGTATAATCGAACCGATATTATATAATATGATTCATGTATATGTTTGGTACTTTCGTTATTTTCTGAATAACTTTGCTGCACTTAAATTGAAAAAGATACTAATTTTTCATCTAAGTACGTCTTTTTTTATTTCCTAACTAGGAGTATATTAAATATGTTCTTGTTCACGTGTGAACTGCCGTTTGATATTCACATTGCAGGGAAATTGTTTCCAGAAATGTATATAAATAGATTTTTTAGTAGCTGAAGTCCATAGACCGACACATTTGGAAAGTACAACTTTTCGTTGAATGTTTCTGTGAAAAAACATTATTTTTGGTGTTCATCTCGAAATAACCATTCGAAGTACACATTGTACAAGGGCCCCGATATCGTATATATTATGATACATGTTACATGTTACATTCGATGTTGTCGGTATTATATGTTTGATGGGCTCGGTTTCATATTATGCACTAATAAACCACGAAATGTTTTCTTAAAATTATAAATGAGTTTATGCATCAAAAACAAAACAATGTACTGTAAGACAAGGCTGGGCATTAACGCGTTAATAAGTTAAAGTTAAGTTAATTTAACTTTTTAACTTAATAAGTTATTTTTTTTATGTTTATTAACTTAATTAATAACTTTAGGAGCATTTAAATTAACTTTTAATTAACTTGAGTTAATTTTACATTTAAACAAGTTAAGTTAATTTTAATTTTAATTATTATATAATGTGTTTTCAATTTTTTTAATTCATGTAAAATTTAAATACCTATATTATGAAATTACGAATATTATCAATGCCTGTTATTTTGCCATCGTCGCCAGTTGGTGGTTATAACTTATAGCTACAGATTTTCTTATGAATTATTATAAACTATTTTGGTAATATTATATTTGTTTTATACTTTTATACATTATTATTATTATATTATACTTATTATAAAGAATTAATATCTATATAAAAGATAACGCTAGACGGACTAGACTGTTATGTGGTAATAGTGTAATATCCCGTTTATTTTTGTATAATTTATTATTAGTTCGACGTTTTCGTCGATTTCACCGAAATCTAGAATTCCCGCATGGACGCCTAGTGACTAGTGGTGGTAAAACCATGTTTCTATATTCGATATCGATACATATTATTACATATCTGTTACAACTACTAATACTGTCATTTCCAGGTTTTATTATAATATGATATTAGTCCGTGTCACGATGAAAAAATGAAAAATATCTTTAATCGCGGTTCGTGTTCTTGTCTTATTGATAATCTAACAACCCATACAGGCCTACCGCTAATTATCGAGTATTAGTAATAACTACCTACTAATAAGTATTCAGTATTCAGTAATCACTGTGTGAGTATAAAAATAAATACGCTACTCAGTATTGAACTCGACTATACTTCGACTTCGACTAAAATATAAAGACGCGGTTAGGTTAAACTAACGCGACCATTTTCGAGTTTGTACAATATGGTATCAGTCTACATTTTCCGTACAGTACTGTTAGCTTTTTGAACACAAAATAATAATAATTCTTTGGTGTAATAACATGAACAATTTTAGGTACGGATATTTTAATTTTTCCTATATGAAAACAAAAAAACTTTTTTTAACTTAACTTGAGTTAAAAAGTTAATATTACATTTTGGTTAACTCTTAACTTAGTTTAATTGATAGAACATTTTGAATTAACTTTTAACTTTTAACTTGATTTTGATTTTAATTTAACTTAACTTAACTGAGTTAAAAAATATCATTAACTTGCCCAGCCTTGCTGTAAGATATGCTTATAAAATCCGTGCTTAAGAAAATATTTGATTAAAGTTTTAAATTGAGAACTCCACCAACTAGATACTTGGATGTTGTAACAAACACTCTGAAAGTAAATTTAAGTATTCGTAAAATAGTATACTGATTTTCTAGATAAGATGTGCCCAAACTTAAAATCAGTACTTATACTATTTTACGAATACTTAAATTTACTTTCAGAGTGTTTATTGCAATATCCAAGTATCTAGTTGATGGAGTTCTCAATTTATAACTTTTATCAAATATTATACATAGTACCTAACTTATAAATTAATTAAATACAACTTAATCAATTTTAATTTTAATCAAATGAATAATTAATATGCATTCATTCAGTAGGTAGTTTAATTCTTGAAATTTATGAGTATTTATAACCATACATATTTTTAAACCTACCCTTTGAAATAATAGCTATTAATTAAACATAACATACAAGTTGTGTATGGATAAAAATAGTTATGGAAAAATAGTTGGTGTGGTTTGGATATTTTCAAATATTGTATGTATTTAAATACTTAGGGGGTAAGTAATATGAATTGAATCGTAGGTAATACGATCGTTAAAGGGTGACCACCAAATACAGTTTTCTGACGTGCGGGAGTGCTCAAGAGGCCAAACACATTCATCGACCGACCGGTAGGTGCGCACCTGGTGGCCCCTCCTTATACATATTATATTCAACCACTCTGTCGCCACCGAGCCTATAAAAGGGAACGAGAAGAATTTCGACATTCATAGTTCCGACTGTTCCGAGTTCTGACCACCAGTGTGTATCACCATGGCTTCGATGATAATAATCTTGATTTCGATCACCTTAATCGTCGCTTTCACCGGAGAGGCATTCAACGTTGATTCCGATACGGAATGGAATAACGGTGAGTATCTGCAATATTTTTTAATTTCGTTTTTGTTTTGCTTATATTAATATATGAATGAAACAATTTTTTACGTTATAAAATATTTTTATTTATTCATTGGATTTCTTCAAATTGTGTATTTGTATTTTAAAATAGTAATGAATATTATATTTATTATTATTATTAATACTATAAAGTTATTTTTCTTAAAAATAGTTATTATCTGTGCTGGTACGTTGAGTAAATATAAATGAAAAAAAACAAATTACTGAAACATAAGTACTTTAAAAAATGTGACACGTTGATAATGAATATCTGACAATTTTAACCGACTATTTTAGATGTAGTAGGACTTATAAAAAATTATTTGAACATGAAAATATATTTTACTCTTAGTCCTATTTTGTCTTAATACAATATCAAAACTATTTGAAACAAAAAATAATTACTATTCAAATAATAAGTCATGTTTAAAAAATTTATTATAATAATAGATTATTTTACAAACTATTTTACCCATTGTAATTACAGTGAGTAGTTACCACTGTACTTTAAATGAAGTTGACATTTTCCTTTAAGCATTAAGTGATTCTTATTTATGATTTTAACAGTACTTTTTACTGTTTCGAATAAACGTCAATAAAAAATATACATCCATAGTTTATCATATTTGTGGAAATATTACTATATTACTTATAAATTTAACTTAATTTATTCTTAAGACAAAAAAATTATTTTATGTTCTTATAAGTTTTTATATGTGTATTGGGAAAAGTTGTCAAATAAATTATTACAGTGCATAATTGTGAAAATCCTTAGGAATTGTTTTTTAATTTAGTAAGCGAGAACTTATCTTAATACATTATTATTTATTTTGAAAATTGTAATAGTACAAATATTGTTTTTTGTTACTTAAATATTTTAATTTGATTACGAGAACTGAACGAACATGTATTTTATAGTAAGTTATATTTTGATATTTGTTACCGTTTAATTAGTTCAATATTAATATTAAAATTGTTAAAATTGAATATTTACTACTTAATATTACCTAAGAAATTGACAATTTGTATTAATTCGTTTAAAATATGAATTATTTATAACTACCAGGCACTAAGACCCCGGTCGGGATTTAAGAATGTAGTTAGCTTATTATTAACTACCATCCTTAGTTGTGGTTGTTACCGGTTATTTGGCTGTATTTCAGCTACTTGTATTTAAAAAATAAATACTATAATGCAATAAAAATTGCCACAGATGTAATCACCTGAGTATGTCACTTTCAATACACAAAAGACGAACAGCTGGATGTCGACTTTACGTCATCAAATATTATAATCTGTTTTTTATCAATTTAATTTCTAAAAATGATCGTCCCACCAAGAGTTCACAATAAAAACTAAACACTTAATCGACGCATATTGTAAATCAGAAGTTTCAAAAATGTATTTAAAAAGCGAACAAATAGGAGGTCATAAGTAGGTATTCTTACGGATTGGTGATGATACTATCAATTAATAAATTACCAAAATCAAGAAACAATAATTATTATATTACTGTGCCATTATGAAGTCTTAAACTAATTTTTGTTGTTACCGCGTATTCTATATAACAGTATACTTTAACATTAAAATAGTAGAACAATACTCAGAACTGAAACATTGAAGTCGCTTTTATAGTTTCCGACGTAATAGGAGATGGAGATGATGTTATAACTTATAATCGATTTCCAGTGTATTTAATGAAATGCTTATACTGACCGTTACAACACTGGATGGCTTTTTCAAAGTTAAATTAAATAACTATCTTACACTTATATTATACAATAATATTAAATAACTAATAAATAGAGCTCGGCAGTTGGTGCATTTGCATGAAAAATTTGCAAAAAAAGGCCATATTAGATTTATTGCTAAGTAAAATCTAATTAAAAATATTGACAGTTTATGATCCATATTATGCATATACAATGAATTTATAGTTTTAAGAGTATCTATATATTCCTCAATTTAACCATGTTTTAACATATTTGATAAATGATGATGTTCATAATATAATTTGAACATTTGTCAAAAAAAAAAAAATACTTAATAGATAATGTATATTTATTTTGAGTTTTTGCTAAATTGGTATTATATTGCATCGTGTTGTTTTTAAAACCCTCAATCAACCAACATATAATTTTCCATTTTTATTAATACAAATATTGTACAAATTAAAAAATTTAGAAATATTTACAATTTTGGGAATTTTGGGTAAAAAATATTGAATTTTAATTGTTATTTTTGGGAATATTGGTACACATGATACATAATAAAATTAATAATAACACACTGATTTTAAAAATTATTGTCTAGTAATTTCATCAAATTTGTATTTTTCTATAATAGAATTGATTGTTCATTTATTGTTAAATTTGCTCTATTTGAAATATCTCTATCTTGTTCTGTACTATTTATTGCAATATACTCGATAGTCTGTGTTTCGATTATTGCTTTTAAAAGACAAAAATATTTTGATTTTAAATGAATCAATTAAATTTGATATGGAAATATATTTTAACCATCAATCACTTTAACCAGTAATCAATTGATCAATAAATAAGTTTTTAATTTTCAAACATTTTAATGTGTAGGTTGTGTATGTTGATGTTGATGCGAATAGATTAAACAACAATATTTTCATATCTAAGGGTAGCCGGTAGGGAAATATGAAAACAAGCTCAATCGGTACTCTAACCGTAAAATATAAATTCGCAATGGACCCTAAAATACAAATGTTGTTTAACCGGGGACATGCGTGGATTTAACATCCACGTTGTTTTTAGAATATTATGTTATGAACCTATTTTCTAAATGTCTAGACATATTTTCTGTAATTTAAACTTGTTCTTTTTTATTTGTATTTATTTATCCTCACCGTCATTATTTCAGATCACATAAACAAATTGTCATTAACACTGTCCCGCAGTAAATTCCAGACCATGATCGTTCCTGAATACAACGGCCTAGACATGTGGACGATGTTGCAGTTACGGCCTAGACTTGATCCAGTTGACTCTCCGCAAACTGTATCGCCGACCGAGACTGACACCGCCAAGCCCCTTACCGGCCAGCATGGTGCAAGTCTGAGGTAAATACATCATTTTTTATACACAATATTAGGGAATCGAAATTAGCAATTTCTCCCACAGTCACTGCCCACTTTACATTAAAGACATTTTTGTATTGCACATTCTGCAGATTCGGGAGGCTGCACGTCCACATTAAGCTTTGGTGTCATTCGATACACAATAAATTTAGCTTTCTACTGGAATTTCCATCGCATAATGATTGTTAAAAAAAAGCGTTGAATTCAAAAATTAAATACGGTAGGTTTTCAAACATATCGATGATTTTATCAGGAAAACTAAAAATTTGTTTAGGTTTTGATTAGAATCATATTGATTTTACTTTTTGTATGCAACTAGTTTTTAACAGTGTTACTATTTGCAAAAGTATAAATTACTTTATAATTAAATAAACAAAATAATAATGGTTAGAAAGAGTTATAATATAAATGATGACGATCAGCTGCGGGAAAAAAATATGTAGATAAGCGTCGAAGTGGGCATTTGAAGATTAATAGAATATTAGGAAAAATGATGCAAGAGTTAAGTAAATAATAATATGTATACAGTCGATGCGAAACTGATAAATCGTCTAGGTTGCATTGCTGGGTTAAATCTCTACACATAGTCTGACGAGGTGTGGTCATATTGAAAAACATTAAAAGCTTACCTGTTTCCAGTAATTTTGTGAATAAATATATTTCATTTGTTTACATGTAAAGGAATCGACGACAAGCCATTGATAAAATAAAAGGTGGAGATGGTGGATCCAGTTCAATCTTGTCGCTCACTAGTTCTGGTTCACCGTCAATAGTAAACGGTGAGGACTCAAACCCCATGAGTGTAAAAAATTTTATACTCGGACGGATGAAACTTGTGAAAATGAATCAGATCCAGAAATCTAAGTTCAGAAACAGACGTCGACGCTCGGCATCAGATAAAGAAATATCATCAGAGAAGAATATCACATCAACAGCAGACCCGATGATCGATAGTAATGGTCATAATATGAGTGCTGTGAAATGCTTATTATCTCTGTCGTTCCCTGTATCCCTCCCAACAGATTGTATACAATTTTATTTTAGATCTTTATTTAAAGCAAAATCATAGTATTAATAAAATAAAAAAATTATTATTATTAAAATCATATTATTCTCATAAACATCGTTGTTCTTTTTACACCTGGTTTTTACACTATGGTTGTAGTATGAATGTAAAAATGTCTTGTTTTGACATTTTATAAATGTTGAAATTGATGCTTGAGTATGTAAGTGCAAAATTTAATGGTATGGTGTGTGATAGTGCTGCATCCGAACGAAAGCTATGGTCGGCATTTGTATAAATAATGTGAACAATATTATTTTTATAACTATCTGATGGAAAACAAGAAATGATTGTCCTATGATGCACCTCATCTTACAAAATGTGTAACTTTCCTAAAATACACGATAAAAAAAATCCAAAATGTAAAAAAACAAATTATTTATTAAATTATAAAATCCAGCTTCTTTTAATATAAAAATATAACGTTATTTATTTTACCTATTACATTTGGACTGAAATCCCGGACAATGATATTTAACGATTTATTAGTGCAACTGAATCATATTATTGCCATTTAAAATATTATGAATGTTATTCATTTGCTCGGTACATATTTTAAAAATTATTGATGACTTACTAAGACTAGCGAAAACATATATTGAACACATACACACAAGCATATATTTCAAAAATATTAATTTCATGAAATTGTAGAACTCTATGTAGCCATAAGTCTATTGTAAATGCGCGTTCATCAAAATTTACAATTTATTATGATTATTTGAGTGCTATAATTATTTTAAAAACAAAAAACAACAGTTTGGTTAAGTCACCTGATTTATGGTACGGTCGAATGGCGAGAACGGCGCACAACAAAGTCCACTCTGTTTACATACCGACGTGGCTACATATATCATACATATTAGAATAATGAAATAATATACTTAACTACGATTAATAATTAATATTATCCTTTCGTCGGACTACAGGTGAGTGACTACAGTTTTTCCAAATATTTGTGTGAATAATCGTCAGTGTTACGTCGATAATGATCAGCCATCATAGATGTGAAACATCGACATTTTGAATAAAAATTCCTCATGAAAATTGAAAGGATGGTTTATTTAAAAATCAAATCAACATAACATAATCAAAAACAAAATATTCAGATTTGTTTAAGAAAAATTATTTTTAATTTTAAAAGCGCATTTGACACATCACCAACAGCCGGTTTTCACTATCCGATGTCTCACATAAAAAACTATTTCTAAAAACGTCGAAACATATGACGCGCTTAACCTAACCCGAGAATTTCGCAAGTTTATCTCGCATATTTTTATGATACTCACTATTATTCACGGTTTTGTTCGAACAAATTGAAAAAAGAGACTACCTATCAGCACTCAACAGTCAATAATACCGATCATAAAAATTTCAAAACAAATAAAATGACTGAATAAAATAAATGTATTTTTGTATTTTACGATCGATATTTCTCGTCAAATTTTTTAGTCAATTTATGCTTTCGAGCAATGCTCCGAACTTTTTGTGAGGAACATTTTTTCGACAGGCAAAAAGTCAGTTTATATGATGACTATTTAACTTTTTTACTGTCGATTCGTATGTGTATACGATCAAATCTAAAATCTAAAATATTAGAATGTGTATAGGTAGTAGGTACCTACCAAAAATAAGGGTGATTATAAATTGTGCCTACACTGTTAACAGCTGGTAGTAAGCACATAGTATAGTAAATTACGACCAGTATTTTTCTGTTTTTTTTTAATTGAAATAGTTTATTTGAGTCCATAGTATCGTATTGCATTCAAAGTATAAAACGAGCCTTACACATACTTTAAAAACAAGAAATCAAGAAAAAAAATTCAACAGGTGGAAAAAATAGTTCCCCAAAATAATACTACGATGATAACTGAATATGTAAATATGATGTCTCATTATCAAATACAATTATTTATATTTGTATTATTTACTCTATACTCTATAGAAATTAACCTGACAGTCATTTTTTTAACAGCTTAATATACTCTACGTAACGAATTCGACAGACTCATCTTATTAAGAAAAATATTGTTTCGTTATTTAATAAATATATATTACATATATATATTCAACCATCCATGTATTATACATTTATATAATTGTGAATATAATTCAATTTCATTAATCCAATTTTTTTTAATTGTTTGTATTTATTTATTTATCATCCCATAGCAAAATAAACTATGAGTGAATATCTATTTGTTAAAATATGTGAATTATAGTATGAATGTCATTGAATCTGGCCATTGATCATTTTACCAAAAGTATACTGTGATAGGTATAATATACGAAATTATATAAATAATTATAATACATTAAGTATGCTACGGAGACTTTAACGTTTGCATATTTATCAAGTTATTATAATATAACGCATTAGTGCATGACGAAAAATTATCATTCGCGTTGGATAAAATATTCGATGATGATGATTCATTATATAGAAAAATCGTAGACAACTTATCAACCTTGACTATAATGACTAAATTACTATAATATGCAATTAATTATAGTCTTCCTCAAATAATTGGAAATGAAATCATTATTTTTTATTAGAAACCCTAAACATCCACTCTTAATTATGGGTACCTATGCAGTAAGATCTATCTTGATAATATTGGTCACCGAATAACGATAAGCTATAGAAAAGTGGGCTTGTATAATATAATAAGATGTTAATATATGTATCTAAAATGTGTGTGTGTGTTTATATATCATATAAATTTCAAAACAAATAAAACGAAGACGGAAAAAAATTAATGAATTTTTGTATTAAACGATCTATATTTCTCCTCAAATTTTTTTATTCAATTTATGCCTTCGAACTTTTTGTGAGGAACATTTTTTCGACTGTCAAAAATAATAGTCGGTTTATATGATAACTATTTAACTTTGTTACTGTCGATTCGTATGAATATACGATTAAATCTTAAATATTAGAATGTGTCTATATTAAAATACAGGTACCTACCAAAAATAATGCCAATTATAAGTTGCGCCGATACTGTGAACAGGTTGTAAGTACATAGCATACTAGTATAGTAAGTATATAATAAGTATTCAGCAACGCAGCTGACACAGCGGCATACGACAGTGCGCTTAATCTACCTAAATATTATATAATTCACACTATTATAAGAAAAATAAACAACAATACAAATATATAAAAATAAACAGATATGAGGTGTGCGTGGGTGTGTAGAGTAGGTCGAAGAACTGGAGTAGTGGTACAAGGCGTTCTCATCATATTTCGGGCGTCAATAACGTTTTTATATATTACATATATAAATATGTAGATATGCATTATGAATGTAATATTGTTTTTTCAGCAAATATTACATTATATTGAAAAAAAGGGATTATTTTGTACACAGTTCATCCCCGTAAATACTGACACAATCAATTTGTTCGACGTTGATTTTGTACAATGCACCTCTTTTATACATAGTCACAACCCGAAGTTTTCAATTGATATTATTGTACACAGTTGTACGTCTATCCTTAAATATATATTTTTTCTGGCATTGCCCCAGGTATCCGATTAAGGGACGGCCAAAACATTTGTGTATATAGTATACGTATATATATTATAAATGGCCAAATGGGTACCGGGTACTTATTGTATAAGATAGAATATCCTTTATGTGAAAATGTAACACGTTGCATTTACTACGAGGGCTAGCTGTCCATGCCGTAAAATATCTGTAATTACAATAAGACGATACACATTTTTAATCTTTTGAACATCGTTTCTGTTAAAAATGATTTAGCAATCACAATTCTTGCAGGTGTTCATGTTGTATAATAGATACAAGTAGAATCGAACCTATATCTTATAATATGATACATATAAATGTTCGATACTTATGTTATTTTTTTGAGTCTCTTTGCTGCACATAAATTGAAATAAATACTTATTTTTTTATTTCCTAATACGGAACATATAAAATATGTTAGGGTTCATTTGTGAACTGCAGTTTGGTATTCATATTGCTGGGGAATTGTTTACAGAGATTGCATAATATGTATATATGTACATTTTTCAATAGCTCGAGGTCCATGGGTTGATGCACTCGACAAGTACAAATTGTTGTTGAACTCAGTTTTTGTACAAAATGGTCCGGAGAAAATTATTTTTGGTGTTCATCTCGAAATAATAGTCCGATGTACACGTTGCATAAGAAGAGCCCCGATATCGTACATAATTATAATATATCATAATACATGATAATTATTATATTTGATGTTGTATTATATTTTTAATGGGCTATAATTCTTATGAATATAATTACGTTTTAATACACATTGAAATATACTATAGAAAATCCTTTAATTTTTTGAGGTTCGATATAAAGTGTACTATATAACATAGTTACAAGCGTTTAGACAAAATGTACAAATATTTTTATAGTTAACATTTTTTTATATTTTCAACATTCATAGCTCAGGGTTGAAAATTTAAAACAAGGTTCTACGTAAGTATTTTATTTTGTAACCAAAACATCTTAAAACATATAAGCAGTTTTTTTTTGTGGTTGTTTATGTTCAATTTTTCACAAAATGACATAATAAATTACCAAGAATAATGATTATAGCTTAATAGTAAAATAAAGTACTTAAATCACAATATAAACTGAATTACTAAGTAATATTATTATTGGCTTACAGACAGTCTTAACTCAGAATCGTTTTTCGTATGCAGTAATTACTAATTGAATTCAAGTTTAACACCATATAGGTACTACAGTTACCCACTTGTAACCAACTGTGTAGCAGAGTGACATCTACTTACAAACTTTTTACAGTTATATCATATAAATGTGAATGTTATTATTTAAATAGGAGTTATATTAATAATGTCTTATGTATTATACAAAACAATGCTCTAAAGTGGCTTTAATTAAAGGAAAAAGGATGGTGTATATCGTGCCCGAGTAACATTTTTGGTTCAGGGAGAGTTCAGCTTATAGAATCACTTAAAGTGCTGAGCA